ACCACCACCACCACCACCACCACCACCACCACCACCACCACCTAAATTTGTGTTTCTCACAAGCAAAGTGATCAGTTTTTAGGCTTTCCATTTGGAGCTTCGGATGTATGCGCTAGAGATGAGTGTGAAGTACACACCTTGATGGCATGAAGTTTTTGCACCAACAGGAGATCAAATTCTGCAGGTTCCAAAGGGGTTAGACCCTGTTGCGAGAAAACAACAAAGTAACGTATTATATTCCTGTCACTTCTCCTTCTGATCCTTTGGTTTCATGTTCAGAGGCTTTTCTTATTATTTCGGCTCCTTGCTTTGCCAAGCCAAGGAGCCTACAAATACCTTGAGGAGATGTGGCGCAAGAAGCAGTCCGCCGCTTTGCTTCAACATCTTCAGTTTCCGGTGACACCTTGTGGTGACGAAGAAACACGTGCGGTCTCCAGCAAAACAATGACGCGCTTTCCTATTCGGTACTGTAGGTTCATGCAGGACAAGTGATAGGCCATACAGTAGATATATTTTCCAAAATGGTTCGAAAGGTCAGCAGGCTTTTTTTCCAGACTCGTTTCTGCTTGCATGATCCTGAATCCACGAGTAATTACAATCAATCAACTCACGTCCTGACCAAGGACGTGATGCGCTTTCTGGCACGCATGCGCAACTGGGAGTTTCGCCAGTGCCACGACTGAAGGGTTTTCGCGTTTCATACGCTAGCAGGGTTTGAAAAACTTCATCATGTTGTGTGTGCGCAGCTGCATTCATTCAAAAAGGTGAGGATAACTCTTGAATTCTTGAATTCAATTGGCGCAATTGAAAGTAGCGCCTAAGTATATTTGTGTCAAAACAAAGTGAGTGGAAACAGTTTTCATTCACTGACGAACTGTTGCATCGTACACAACAGCATTTCACATGATGTGCAACTACAACTTCTTGCCAGTGATTTACAGTAGATTGGTCGGAACGGCATGGGTCTTTCAACGCACCGAAGGTTGCCTGCCGTGCACCGCTGTAGCCGCCCCACCCGTCCGGACAAAGCCCGGAAGGTGGGGTACAAGGCCGGACGTGCTGTGGATTGCTCTGCTAATAGTACTGTACCTTATTGTTTTTTGCAAGAAACCATGCAAAGCGAGTCATAGTGTCATAGTGATCAATTGGTGCCAAAAAGAGTTTCTTGCTGAGTGTTGTTCTGAATAGCACCGCAGCTTTCACATTCGCCACTGTTATGCAAGGCCAAGCAGGGCTACTGCATCTACCGGGTGCGTGTGAAGCGAGGGGATCGCAAGAAGCGTGTGGCCAAGGCGGCTCCATTGCGTTTTCCAGCACCCGCTGGTGTCTACCGGGTCGTAGTGCCTACCGGGTGCGCTTGACAGTTCAGCTTCGAATCCGGACTCACACAAAATCAAAGAGTCCAGTCAAAATCATAGTCTTTGAACATCGGGATCCTTGGGACCTTCTTTCCGTCTCAGAACCCACGGAGTTGGCGGGATCCGGTCCACGACTCCGTCTCAGATCTGGTCGATCCGTGCCCTCCGCATGTCGGGTGGCGGATCAGGCGGAAAAAGCACGGATGAATGCGGTTCGATCAGCTGCCGGGTTTTCCCAAAAAAAGCTAATTTCCAAACCTGGTGGCCAGGTTTTCCCTCTCCGCCGTATCGGGCACCGCAGGGCATTGTCTATGGCAAGCCTGTCACTTGGCCCTCTTTTTGAACAAGGACCGTGCTAGATCTCAAGAGAAAAAGGCAGCCGGTTTTTCTTTGCCATGGCAAATTTCGGATTTCAATGCTTTGGCTGTCTGTCGTTGATCCCCATTATTTCTGTCTATGGGTTGCTTTCTTCTTGTGTTGACAGTAGTTCTTCTCAACCAAGCAGCTTAAAAATTGGCTGAAAGGCCGTTGCACAATTCTACCACTAACTGTCTTCAGCCGTGCAGAGTCTCTTTCACAACGGAGGGTTGCCGTTTCATCCACAAGATATTTTGTTGCTGAGATTGGCATCAGATTGCAAGCCTGACCAGCTCTACTTGAGGTGAACCAAGGCATCAACAAGTGGAAGGCCGTGCGAAACCTCCGCTCCATTGCCGAAGAGCGCGTCGGACGCAAGTGCGGATCCCTGCGAGTCCTGAACTCCTACTGGGTGGCACAGGCGGGAAGAAGTCAAAGCACTGTTTGGATTGGAGGGTCAATGACTTCTGGATTGTGATCGGATAAACGCCGCAACATTGATGTTGTATAAGAGCTGAAGACTTCTTTGTGTCACAGGATGCGATGCACAAGTGGTACGAAGTGGTGATGGTGGATCCCTTCCACAATGCCATCCGCAACGACCCACGCATCAACTGGATTCTTGGAGTGAGTCAGTGGGAACCTTCAGGGCACCTGTTCAAAATTTGTTGAGAGCTTCCTGTCCAGGAACGACTGGGGGTTTAATTTCTTCTCACTTCGCGTCAGCGTGCACAGCCTGCCCCGTAGATGCTTCTGCGTTGCATGGCAACATTTTGGCAACGCTTTAAGCCATGCCCTGGCTGCCCTGGCCATGAGCTTCGATCAGGATTTGCAAGCCTGTGATGAAGCATCGAGAACTGCGAGGCGTTTGGGTTTGGGTTTCTGCGGTCCTTGTGGCTGACCCAAGTAGCCGGTAGGGACGAACACTATTGAAAGCTGTTGAGAATGGCAGCATTCTCCCTTAACTTTTGACTTCGTCCCAAAGATTGATCCACGATCATTTGTCGCTGTGCCGATGCGAGGCGTGACGGCTGCCGGGCGCAAGGCACGTGGCCTCTTGAAGAAGGGCAAGCGGGTCGGGAGCCTAAGAAAGAGTTGAAACTGTCTTAGTTAGAGTCTTGATGAATCCTTCACTACTTGGTGACTTGGTCCCTGGGTTCCCAAAAAGCAAGGGTAATTAGGCCGCCGGCCAATGTTGGGATGTCGTTTGGTATCACCCCTTCAAGTGCAGGAGTTTGGGACTGGGGCACTTTAGTCCTCCTTTTGAACTGTTGCTGAAGGCTTCATCAACTCATGACTTGCTAGTCAAAATGCCTCAAATTGGGCTGAACCCAAACCCCTCACCCTTACCCCGAAAGGGCACGCGGCCGAGCAACTTTTCTTGGCTTGGATTCACATACTCTCAGTTTTGCCCTTTAGGAGTCTTTGCCCAAGTCATGGAGGATTTTGAGCACCATTGTGCACAAACCATATGGCACATTTTCAGACATGCAAGGACATCAACATTGTAACATCCCACATCTCAATTTCACTAGACTCTCAATTTCAGTCAGCGTCTTTTGTTTGAACAAACAAGTTTTGTTGGAACCAACCCGCAGCTTTGGTCCGCCCTCTGCCTTCAAACTGAGGCCACAAAGCTGCGACCCTCCGCCCGCGCCGTGTACCGCAGGTGCCCAACCCTCGCAAAATGAGCTTTGGACCGTCACTGCAAGTTGGTTCCACTGGACCAGCGTTTTCAGAACTGCAGATGAAGACCTACATAAATAGACCATAGACCCACTTGGCTCTTTTCCACGGTGAAGCTGTTGAAACTGAGGCACAGCCTGATGCGGCTGCGCCGCTACCGGTGAGGCTCGGGGCCGCAGGTCGGTCCCATCCCGTGAGAACGAAAGCCGCCAGGGCATCGGCGATCGCGGAACGCCTCGGGGCGGCACCGAAGTGGCCATTGGAGATCATTTGGTTCGGAATCATACGGGACTGGTTGAGGGAAATCATTTGATGAGTTACAGTTCAGCTCAGCTGCAGTTCTGTGCCAAAGGTGCCATCCAGCTGCGCTGTTAGGATTGTGGCTGGGCCCTGCATGTGGCATGGCCATAGAGTTATTGCCGATTCTTCTGGCCGCTGACGAGTTGGAACACGCGTTCCGAATGTAGCAAAATCACCTGGACTTCTCCTCGTGGCGGCCGAGAGGAGCCTGGCAATGCTTGCAAGGTCCCCATGTGCAACGCCCCCCCCCTGATTCGCAGCCTTGGCTTTCTGCTGATTCCAGTGCGCAAGAATTCGGGGAGCAGTGAATTCTCTTTGAGAATGTCTGGGTCCTGGAAGTTTGCTAGGGAATCAATATATATATATATATTTGTACATTTGCTAGGGAATTAGAATCAATAATATATATATATATACACATACATGGTTGAAAAGTAGCTTTGCTTGAGTCTTTTGAGTTTTGATAAAGCTGGCAAGAAACGTTGAGATCATCAGCCGCGCTTGGAAAGATCCAGTGCCATTTGCATAGGCAATATTTCCACTATTCACAGCGCACCGTGATTGGTGTATCCCAGGTATTGTAAGATTTTGTCCATCAACAATGCAATGCACAGTGGATTCCTTCAAGTCCGAGCTTTAATTATATACTGACCCTTCATTGGTTTAGTGCCAGGTGTGGATGTGGGATGTCTGAATTTCTTGAACCCCCATGAAGTTCATATGGCAGGGGTAGCCAGCTTTTCCCGAGCAATTCCACCAAGCTCTTGTAGTGCAAATTCTGCAAGTTCACTGCCAGCTTCGTGTTGCACTGGATTCGCCGACCAAAGCTCCTGTGCCACGGGATGAAAGGAATCCTCCGCAGCGAGATGAAAAGTGACCCACGGACGGACGACCGCGGTCGTAGCGCACGGATGAATCAGCGTTGAGGGCTTTTTGTTGCTATTTGATATACAATCAGCGTTCGCATTTAAAGGATGCTGTTCATCCATCCGCAGATATTTGTTGCGCCTATTCATCCGAATGCCAGAGTTCGGTAGCTGGTTCCCAGTGGGTGACATTTTGGGCAACGTAGCGCGATAGAATTTCAACGACCCTGCAAGAGTCTGGGAAACACAAAGAGAAGGGTCATTTTTCGTGTGTACGGTTGAAAAGTCCAGGCGAGCCTGGTCTCTCGTGCCAGAGCCCCGGCGAACGAGTTGAGTTGGTTCTGGATGTCGAAGTTGGTTCTCCAAAGAGTTCTTAAGTTCTCCCTAGCTCTTCCGCCGCATGCCAGCTTGTCTTTCTTCTTCTCGCGTCGTTGTCTCCGTGTTGGGCCATTTTCCCTGTCCCAGATGGCTTTCTCAGGCTCAACGCCTTACTCCACTCGGTCAACGCCTTTGGGCCTGGCACCTGGTCCGTCCCCTTTCGGTCACCGGCTGCGTCGCTGCGTCCGTCGCGTCCGAGGCCGGTGCAGCTGAACTTCGGTCCCCCAGAGTCGGACTCGGTGGAGGGCTGGGAGGCGGGTCTAGAATGGCCTATAGTTAGGAGGTCTGAAGGGAAACAAGGGTTTTGACTTGTTGAGGTATTGAATGACATCTCATTGGTTGGGTGCCAGTGACTGCCAGTGTTTTTGGAGTTGGAAAATCTTTGAGGGAACGACTAAGTGCGGAAGACTGGCTATTCCTGTCTTGTTTTCTTGGCAGTTTTGATGGGAGCGTGAGTTGTCTACATCTTCTTGGGAAGTGACCTCGGTGCTTGGAATTCTCTCCTTAGGCCAGGTTCCTTTGAGAGGTACGTATGTTGATCCCAGTGTTAGGCATCAACATTGATGACATTTTAGGTGGAAGATGACATGAGTGGTTGTTTCAATTGTAGGAGCCTTGTGATTTCGGAATACCAAACTCCCAAAACTTTAAGATACATGTGTTCGACTTTTCCCCTGAAGCATCAAATGAACCAATCATTACATAGGCGGTATAATGGACTCTAGAGAGGATTTTGGATGGAAACGTTTCCAAGGCGTACTTATGCGGTTGCTCAGTCTCTTACTGCCGCCCATGGGATAGACAAACCATGCAAAACAAGTGGGGCTAGACCCAGCATGCAAAGTAAGAGAGCTTCAAATGCTGGCTGCAGAAAGCCAAAAACGCCTGGCTAGAGACCCAACAAATTGCAGGGTTCCAGGCCAGGAGTCGTGCGTACGAGTTGTGCCTGGTTCTAAAGACCAAGAGACACTTAAGAAGCCTTTAGCTTTGAACGCTATCCAGGAATAAAAGGGAAAGACCCATGAACCATCCGATGCACCTATGTTGTGAGTCATGAGAGTCGAGGCTTCTGCGAGGGCCCCTCGCTTTTGGACAGTTGGCAACAGATGATATGACAGGCTGCCTTTGGAACGGTGACGGGTACGCCATTCCTCCAACTGCTGCGGTCTGAGACAGAACTCTGATGTTTAAGCTTTGGGTCTCCTTTCATTTGCTCATGCCCATGAGTTCTTTAACTTTTGGATGCTCTTCATGATTTGCCTTACAGTGGAAGTCAGCAGACAGATCAAGAAGCATGGTCCGTGCTGGATACCGCTCACACATACACAGACAGATCTTGTTGACAAAAGCCTCTCATGACCTGCAACAAAACAATGACCGTGCAAGAGGCAGCTCAGGCCGCCATTCGTTCGCGAGCGCACGTCGAAAACCCGAATTCAGGACATCGCTCGATCCACCTGTCTTCGGATACTGGGGTGGTGATTACCAAAGTACGGGAGCTCAAAGCAGCTCAAAGCGTCCGTGACGAGTTTGTTTGTGGCCAACTCGGCCCAGAGGGAGAGCTTGGGGACTGAAGGCGGTGGATCTAGACCGTCCTTCACTTCGTGAAGCAACAGTCTAGATCTCGCGGCCAGATTGCTTGGGTGTTGCCTCTCTACACCACATGTTCAAAATCAAAAGATGTTGTAAGATGTACTATCCCTCATCTTGGATGGTACAAGTTCTACTGTTTTTCAACAGCCACAAGTCCAGACGAGTCTTTGCTTGAGGTGCTGTGCATGTGCAGTTGGACGCAAGTCCAAATGGCAGCTTCAGCATTCTGCCAGAGAATGTGTGAGATTCTCAGATCTGGACGGCTCTGGAGGCCCGAAAGCCTCAGGGTGAGCGCAAATGGCGCTGCAATGAAGATGTTCCCTACTCAGATTCCTTTTTTCATCTGCTTCCCATTTCAATTTCTGAGATCCATAGAAACTAGATGAGCAGATGCTGGAACCAGCAGATATGGTTGACGTCCTTCTTCAAACCAGCCATGGCAGCGAGGTTCCTTTGCTTGGTGTCCGTGCCCGTGGGCAGCTATCATCTGGAGGCACCTCCTTTTCTCCAGAACTGGAGGCCATCGCTATTAGGCTGGAGGCCATCGCAAGTAGGTTGGAGGCCATGGCTATTAGATACTATTAGAAGCAAAGCTAATATAGGCTGCTATTAGGTTGGAGGCCATCGCGATAATCTGGGGGCACCTCCTTTTCTCCAGATCTGGAAGACGGGAGACGGCTGCTATTCTCAGTCTCCAGACAGATCTCCCGAGGTGTCCGTGGGGAACGCTTCGGGGTCCGGGATCCCCAGCAAAGGGATCCAATGAGCTTCTTGCTTTTGGCTGGGAAGATAAGTGATTTGGCATATCCAAACGCCTAAACAACTATTTCTTTTCTTCCCATTCGGTTCCTCTCCTCATTTCTCTTGTTGGGTAGTGTTTGGATTGAAAAGCTCTTTGTCCTAGATTCCACTGTTCATTCTGTTTTGCCAACAAGTTGAGTGGCTGCGACGCATTGTGTACCCAGTGTACATTCCACCAAAGCCCTTGTTCAGACGCATCTGTGCTGAGTTAAAGAGCGCAAAAAAGAGTGACGTTTTCTGGAAAGAAACACCTACCTGAGTTCAAGAACCATCACGATCTATCCTTCAACAATCTTCAACATGAGTTCATTTCATTTCATTTCCAATAGAGAACCTGCAGTACTTGAGTAGCTTGTCAGCTTGCCTACCAGCGAAACCAACTTCAGGGTCGCGTCATCCTGTTTGGAGCTCGACAACGGCGACTGCCTCGGTTTTTGGGCCTTGTGGGGCTAAAGAGTGCACAAGTGCTCTTCTTTCTTTGCACCGCTTTGCCACCGAACGGCCCTGTTTCCTGTTGGTGACTACAATCGGAAATGGACTTCGGCTCAACAGGAAATGGTGCAGCTTCGACGCAAGTGCTGAACAAGTACTTGATTTTTTCCTCCGGCAAGTTCTGAACAAAAGTAGGCTGGAGGCCATCGCAATTAGGTTGGAGGCCATTGCAAGTAGGTTGGAGGCCATCGCAAGTATATAGGTTGGAGGCCATCGCTGTTCGCTCCCATATTTGCCGTCCCAAGACCTCGAGATCGAGATGAAACTTCTTCAAATACCCCGTAAATACTGGTACAAGTATTTGGAGTTGAACATCGCATTTTCGTAGCTTTGTAGTTTGGATCAGAACTACATTGATCACCATCTCTTGCACACCCTGTGCGTCCTGAGGGGTCCGGATATATGAGGGCCAAACACTTGCTGGTGCGATCGACACGGCCTTTGCCCAGCTGCAGAAGCAGGACTCGGGAGAAGCGGGCATGTCTATTCTGCCCGAGCTTTTGCATCGATTCGCAGTCAGACTTGGTAGTTCTTCCAGCTTCCAGTTCATTGTTCATCGTTTTTCATTTGTTGATCTATTTATTTACCTCTATCTATTCCTTCTTATTCTCTACACGTTTCTGACGTTGCCGACAGCCAGGACTTGGACTCTTGCCTCACGTTGCGCGCCTGCGCGGAGGCGGTCGTGAACAGCTGGAAGGCGACAGGGGCACAAGCGAGAGACAGGTGCCCAGCGTGAACAGTAGATGGAACCACTTTCGATTGTTTCTCACAGGCATCTACTGTTGAACATCCTGTGAATGGAGATGGACCACTTTCGAGCTCTTTTTTCAACAGTAGATGGAACG